GCAGGGCCCGAGGGGCCACGCAAGGCCCACCTCCCGCCGCCGCCTTGGCGCAGGGCCCGGGGAGGCCCACGCAGGACCCCAATTAGCTTAGTTTTTTTGATAACTTGCTAAGCTTCTATATGAGGATTTGCTGCTTTACTTGCACTTTTATGTCATGAAGATGGCTTCTTTCCTTAAACATCTTGAAACAATTTCTGCTAGTTTCAAACTTTTTTTCTGCATCTTTCTCATCTCTTTTGGCCTTTATAGAATTAAATATTAACTATTTTACTTCCTTATTACTCATGTTCACTGAAGTAGGCTCATTTTGGCATAAGAGTCCTAGTTTTTGATAAAGATGACTTGAGAGGAAATGTGAATTTTGTCTATCTTCACTTTTTTCTTTTTATAGTTTTTCATTTAATTTTTATTTATTATTATTTTTTAATTTGCCCAGAAAGAGACAGAGCAAGAGAGAGAGAGGAAAAGTGAGAAACCAAGTTGCCAGGCCCAGGACTCGAATTATAGTATGCCATGTGGAGTCTAGTATCTTAATTACCATGCCACCTGCTAGCCCCTCTATCCTAACTATATATATATATTATATGATATATATATATATATCATATAATATATATATATATTGCTATAGGCAGTGTGTGCTTGATGGAGAGACAGAGACAGAAAGCAAGAAATCACCCCAGGGGAAGATGGCCATATTGCAATCCCTACTCCTCCTTTCTCCTCTTGGGATCTTGGGCATGCACACAAACATGTGCAGTGTGAGTTTCAAACTTCCGGATCCGAGATTTGAACCACAGATGACTACATGGGAGTCCATTACCTCATCCACTGGTCCCTCTATCCTGGCTTTTAACTTTGTCACTAAGCTTAATCATTTTAGCTTTTGATTGAAAGTGAGGGATATTTAATACTTCCTTTCACTTAAACACTTAGAGTCAATTGTAGGCTTATTAACTGTCCTAATTTCAATACTGTCATGTCTTGTGAAATAGGGAGGCCAAAGGAGAGGGACAAGGGGATAGGGAATGAGATAGTTGATGGAATAGTCAGGATATACACAACACTTAAATTTGCTGTCTCATATTGCATGCTTCATGGCACCCCGAAACAAGTAAATAGTAACATCAAAGATCACCAACCACAGATTACCATAACAGATGTTAAAATAATGAAAATGTTTAAAATATTGCTATCATTACCAAAATGTGACAGAGATATGAGGTAAACACATGTTAGAAAAATGTCACCTATGAACTTGTTCAACTCAGGGTTGCCATGAACTTTCAATATGTAGAAAATGCAATATTGGGATGACCATGTAGTCAGTGGGTAAAGCTGCACAGAGGAAACCAAATCCCGCATGGCTGACCAAGGTTCAAGTCCCAGTTTCAGTAGCTTGAAAAAAAACTTGAGGCTCCACCATATTTTCCCTATCGCCTTCTAAAACTCTATTACTTTGTTAAACATTCTCATTCTATCCTCCATGCCACTTAATTCTTTCTTGAATTTTTTTGTATACTACATTCTGGGTATTTTGTTTTTATCTACCTTGCAGTTAATTTCTATTGTTTTACTTATTCAAGTTTCTAATTTCAATTACTTCATCTTCAATTCTAGAAGTTATTTTAAGTTTTTTTAAAACATGCACAATAAATTATGACAGTGTCTTATCATAATACATTATGATAGTCTTTTATTCCTTAACATATTTTTATTTCCAGCTGCATTTTTTAACATAGTATATATTTTAATGTTCAATATTTGAGAATTCCAATGCAAATTCTTTGAGGAAGATAATGTGGTACTTGGTTTTCAATAGTTCTCACTCACAACTGTTCAATACCTTCATTTTAGCAGTTTTACTCTGTCATTCCTCCATTTTTATTAATTTTTGTTATTATCATTTTTTTTTAATTTGACCAGAGAGAGATACAGAGGGAAGGAGGGAGAGAGAGAAGGAGAGAGAGAGAAAGAAAGGGGAAGAGAGAAAGCAAGTCACCAGGTCCAGAACTCAAACTGTGGTTGGCGATGTGGGAGTCCAGTACCCCAGCCACTGAGTAACCTGCCAGTCCCATCATTCCTCCATTTAAACCAGGGGCTGGCATAAATATTGCCCCCTCCTATCTGTTCTTAGAAAACAGTTTGTCATTTTAAAAAATCTCTCCTAAAATTTCCTTTTTTCCTCTCTCTTTATGCAGAGCCAAAGCCAAAATAGCATGTACTCCTAGAAATGACCACCTAGTGAAGATGTTTTCCATAGATTCCCTACTTCCTTAAGGTGTTATCCTTTGTGTGCCCCAGCTTTTAGGAGGTGATTCCCTACTGAACTGTCCTCCCTCCTCAGGCAAACTTCATCTCCATTCCTTGACACATAGACTATAATGCATAGGCTCTAAGCCACAAAAGATCTGTAGGTAACACTCAGAAAAACACCAATTCCAGTGCACACTCATACCAATGAGCTTATACTTTATTGTTATTTCTAAGTTCTGAAAAATTATCTTCCTTTCCAATTACCTCAGTCATGCACTGGAAAAGTAATTTTTTTAATAGTCCATCTAATATTTTAAGGTATGTTATTGCAAAAGAGTTTCTCTGAACACTTAGTCTGCCACATTGCCAAAAATAGAAGTAGAAAACTGCTGATTTTTATATAGTGATCTAATATCTCACTTATAGCCTCCAAAATATTTTACAGAGCCCTCTCAGTTTTTAAAATAAAAACCTGATTGTCTCTTTTCTAATTATTTCATTTGGATTTGGATTTTCTAGGTAGAAAAATATATTAAATATGACTAATAACAATTTTATCTTGTCATTCCTACTATTAATACCCTATACTTCCTTTTCTTATTTTAGTATGTTGGCTAAAACTTGCAATAGCAATGGCAACCTCAGCTTGTTCTAAATGTAACACAGTAAAAACTAAACCAAAATAAAATAGACTATAGATACCATCTATTCACTTATACTCCGTTTGAAGTGGGTAATCTAAGTTATTTATCTCTGTTCAAAATGGCCTGAACAGAGATAGATTGAAATTCAAACTGGGATTAGAAATTGGAACTGGAACAATCAAAAATCTTTACACAAAATTGAAAAACAAAATTTCTAACACTATATTTTTTAAAAAGTTCTTAGTTTAGTTCAACAGTAAGTTAAATCCAAAACCAGAGAAAATACATACTTTAAATACTTCTCATAGTGAATGATAAAATGAAAGCTCAGCAATGTGAGCAAATTCGTCATCATGTTAAATGTGCTTCTTCAAAATTTAGCAGGTGCTCATTCAGCAGCACATATACTAAAAATGGAATGATACAGAGAAGATTAATTAACATGGCTCCTGCAAAAAGATGATATGCAAAATTTAACAAGAAAAAATAAATACTGAACTCCTAATAAAGTATAGCATCTACATTAACAGAAAAATTATATGCATATTTATTTACTTTTCCTATGTATCAGTAAACAAAACAAATACGACTTTTATTTCTCTTTTCTTTTTTTTTTTTTTTATTGGAGAGATTTTTGCTATAGGGCAAGTGCGCTCACCAGACAGAGACAAAGAGACAGAAAGCAAGAAATCACCCCCCAGAGGGGATGGCCATGCCACAATCCCTTCTCCATTCTCCTCTCAGGATCTTAGGCACACACTCACACACGCCCGGCATGAGTTTTAAGCCACCGGGTTTGGGACTTGAACCTTAGTTGACAACATGGGAGTCCAGCGACATAGCCATTACGACATAGCCATTATGCTGGTCCCATTTATTTCTTTTTCCATTTTACTTTAATTGATTAATAAAATTATCAGAAATGAAATGCTGGCATAATCTGAAGCTATATTGTTTTAAATAATGGGGAAAGACTCTAAACAAACAACTCATAATTACAGAAACAAATTGGTTTCTTCTAGAATTTTTTTTAATGTGTACAGCAACTCCTCACAGAAACTTAATAGAAAACGTATAAGGTATTACTGGCTGAAGGTTTACACAGAAACTTCAGAATCCACTATCCTGGGAATAACAACCTTTTGAAGAGGTCATCATTAGCTGAAGTTATATGGCACAGATCATTATTTCCTACTGCCTCATATCTTCATGGTAGCTCACGCATTGAAGGATATAAAATTCTTCAATAAGCTGAACTATTTCAATTGCCACAATGCCACTCAAAATGAATGACAGTCTACTGCATCCTCCTCACTCTATTACAACAAAGTTCTATCATTTTTAACAGATGTGAATTTAATCAATTGTACATCACCAGTGAGTTTCAAACAGATTGAGGGACTGCTTTTATATTACGAAGTAATCATCAAGTTTGGGTAAATGGCCCTGTGACCATGTCAAACTGAAGAGATAACTAAAAAGGAAACAGGCATAAGAGAGGTTGCTCTAAATATTTCTATAAAGTTAACATCGCTAACTGTTCCAAGGATGATTCTGATCTGGAATCAGGTCTTCTTTCTGTAAGGATTCCATGTTCATGAATGAACTAAGTAGTAGGTATTACCATTTACCTGGTATTAGCAATAAACCTGAGAAAACTCTCTACCCTCTACTCTGTTCCCTGGCTCCAAAAATTAGGAATTTTAAATACAGTTAAACACCAAAGTTCATAAATATGTGTAAAAAATAAATTAAAATTATAATTAAAAACCACATAACTAGGGGCATTAAATCCATTTTTTCAAATGAGAACAGAGTACAACCAGGAATATACAACCTCATTTCATGTAGTATAAAGAATAATTAAATATAAGATAAAAACATAAAAAATATTTATATAAAAGTTATATAAAAAAACGAGCTTTTGCCCATACTTTAATACAAGGATACACAAAGCCATAAAAATGTTCAGAAAGTAGAAGAGGGCATCCAGCCCAAATTTTATCATTTCACTGTCTCTCCATCTACTTTCTTGCTCCTTCCTGAAAGCCAATGATACTTCTTATAAAAAATCAGAAGCAAGAAAGGAGTCACATTCATTATTGTTTGCACAGAACTTCATGTGGCTGGGTTAGACAAAGTAACAGCTCCATCAATAAATAACAGTACCCGGGAGAGGTTTATAATATCCTACCTGTTTGCCCAGAAGAAAAGAAGGATTTAGAGAGACAGTAATTAAAGATAGGAGAAAGAAATGGTTCAGAACACAAAACTTGAGGCCACCTTGGACGGCAAAAAGGCAAGGTACTAATACTGTACCTAGAAGTGGAAAGGAAGAGGATGTAAAAAATTAGAGGTCTTGGTCTCTGTTGTAGTCAAAACAGTACCAGAAAGTGGAGCTGGAAGCCACATGCTGACCATGATTTGAGTCATCAGCCTGAACACAGAGTTAGCCTGCCTGAAAATATACTGGGCATTCATGCCAGGATTCTAGCAGTTGGAGGACTGGAGGAAGGGAACTGTGGTGCTCTGTAGGAGAGTTCTCTCTCTCTCTCAGCATGTACACATGTGTACTATTTCTAATTTTAAAAATTAGTTAAGGGAGAAAAGAATAGGACTATAAAGAAACATCTTAACTGTTTTTAAAGTTTTATACCTTTCAACACCCTTAAATATTAAAATTTCATTCATCTTTAGCATTAATTTATACCATTCTGGTACCCTTCTATCCATCTTAGGTATCCTACCATCTTAAAGTGGACAGCCATTCAGGCAAATCTTTCTCTTTTTAAAATTATTTATTTATTTTATTTATTATTATTATTTTTAAGTTTGCTGCAGGGTATGTGTGCTCACCAGAGAGTAACAGGGGGGTGAAAGTGTGAAAGCAAGACACCAGGTGTGGGACTTAAACACAGTCAGCCACGTGGGAATCCAGAGCCTTAACCACTATGCCATCTGCTAGCCCCAAGACAAATCTTCCTCACAGTCCATTCTCTTTCCCAATAAAAAATGACTCTTTTTTACTAACTCGTCCCTTTCTCAATCAAAACTCTAATTTTCTCATGTGCATAGTTTCCCTTAGGAAAACAATCTGACTAGAGTAAACCATCGTGAGAACTTGAGCTTTGTGGAGGATATAAGTTTTTTTTTTTTTAATGGGAAAACTAGAATATAAAAGGGAGAATGCACACAGGTTTTGTGGAAAGGGGGTGATATCTCAAATTCTTGTCTACTCTGGGGCTAATTTACTGAGTAACTAAAAAGACAGATACAAACTTGGTATTCTACTTCTGAAGTTTTGCCATTTCATATTATAGAGTTCAACAGGAAGTAAAAAGAAGGCTTGAAGTAAACAGGAGGTAACAGGACTTAAGGAAGAATAATACTCATGCACATACTGTCACTCCAGCAACCCATACGCACCATTCCCTGACTCCAGCCTACCTTTACACCTGCCTTGGCACCACTAGTTAATCAAAGCACTCTTCCCTGCTGAAACCAGAAATGTTTGTGTGTGTCATCTCCAAGTTAAAATAGTCAATGACAAAAAGAGCCACTTACTTTCAGTCCAGAAAAATAACAGTAATACCAGTTAAAATCCATGTGTCACAAAGCACTACCAATATTTTAGACATTTTATTTTGTTGAGTCCTTACAATAATCTATGAGGCAAGTAATATGCCCATTTTACAACTGGGGAAATTAGAAGCCTATCCTCAGCCTCCTCTCTTTTCTAAATTCCCTTATTCCATATTCATATCCAAACCAACCCTCCATAATTTCTTTCAGCATCTGACACTTAACAAACATTAACCTGTATAATTATTTATTTTTATGCCTCTATCCTGCTTCACCAACTAATATTATGTTTCCTTTGCTTATTATACCAGGTGCTCATAAACACGTGTTTAAATAATGGCCAAAACAATTTTATATAATAAATAGCTAAATAATAAAAAGTAGCTAATAAAAGAAACCTCCACACCCTATATTTGATCATCAGGCATTTTTAGTGTAGTGAAACATCATTACAAGAAATTAACCACTTCAGGCAGCAGATGGCATGGTGCTTAAGGGTGCTGGACTCCCACATGGCCAGCCACAGTTCGAGTCCTAGAACTGGCAGCTTACTTTCTTACTTTCTCTCTCTCTTGCTCTGTCCCTCTCTGGTCAAATTTAAATAAATAAATAAATAAATAAATAAATAAAGTTAAATAAAAGATTTCTTTAAAAAAAAAAAGCAATTAGCCACTTACTGTGATCTTTGACAATTATCTTCATATGATATATGATGTCTCTAGATTATGTATTTCATATAGAGTAAGTGAAGATTAGAAAATTAAATTAATCTGGCCATAGTTAAATAGCTGGCAACAGAAATGGTAAGAATTTGAGTCGAGGCCAGTTTTCTTCTACCTCCCACATTCTGTCCACATACACACAAAGAAGCAGGAGGTCTAAGATGATTCCAACATAGGTCAGATCAGAACACAGCACATAACTGGAAGGTAAACTAATATAAGAACAGGTTTCTTTCTACTGCTTGATGATGCCCAGGCAAGTTATCTGAAATGATTCAACATCAACCTCAAAACATCAAGTTATTTTGTAATTATTATGAACCATCTTTTACGTCAATGAAAAGGTTTAAGGTAGGGTTACTAGCTGTAAAGTTGCAGTTGATTCCTTTATTTTGACATGTCTTTTAACTACTCTTCTATTATCCCCAATTTTTCTGTTTATATGGTGACATTTCCACTCCTCTTACCAAATTTATGAAACTGGTTTTTGGAGCCAGCAGGTGGTGTAGTAGTTAAGGCCCGGGACTCTCACGTGGCCAACCGCAGTTCAAGTCCCAGTACCAGAGGCTTGAAACTCACGCCAGGCACGTGTGTGTGCATGCATGCTCAAAATCCTGAGAAGAGAATGGCAAAGAAGGGATTATGGCATGGCCATCCTTCCTGGGTGGTGGAGGGGTGTGATTTCTTGCTTTCTGTCTCTCTGTCTCTGTCTCTCCAATGAGCACGCACACCCAGTAGCAAAATTCTCTCAAAAAATAATCTCCTTTTTTTTCCTATGAGATCATATGACAACTAAACATCTCCAATTCATTTTTTAAAAATACATTCAGTTATTTAATTAGGTTCTTGGCAAGATATTGAGAACACCAATTTGAAAGGATAAACTTTATCTGTAAGGGTAAACACGAATCACAGGTAGCCCTGGAGCTGAGGAACAGCTTTGATTTTTGGTAAAATATGCAACTCCACAGCTTTCTGATCAACCTTGCACTCCTCTGTAATCTTGTATTCCTCCTTCTCTGTATCAAAGATCTCACCTTCCTGGTATCTGGGCTTCTGTAGCTTCTTTTTCTTGAAGTAAGATTGGTGAGGTGTTTGGGGTTGTTTGTTTTTTTTTTTTTTACTTTGCTAATATCAATTTTCATGGAGGATAACAATTTTCATGGAGGTGACGATGACAAATTTCTGGAG